GTGCAGACAGCACATCCAGAAAACTCCCCAGTTTCCCAAACCTTCCCTTGTTGGGTGCTGCCTTTTATTATGCTGCCTTGCCTGTCGGAAAAGGACCTGGAGGTATTGGTTGACAGCCGGCTCAGTATGAGCCAGCAGTGTGCCCAGGTGGCCAAGAAGGCCAATGGCATCCTGGCCTGTATCAGAAATAGTGTGGCCAGCAGGAGCAGGGAAATGATCGTCCCCCTGTACGCAGCACTGGTGAGGCCACACCTCAAATACTGTGTTCAGTTTTGGGCCCCTCACTACAAGAAAGACATTGAGGTGTTGGAGCGTGTCCAGAGAAGGGCAACGAGGCTGGTGAGGGGTCTGGAGAACAAGTCTTATGAGGAGCGGCTGAGGGGGCTGGGGTTGTTTAGCCTGGAGAAAAGGAGGCTGAGGGGAGACCTCATCGCCCCCTACAACTACCTGAAAGGAGGCTGTAGCGAGGTGGGTGTTGGTCTCTTCTCCCAAGTAACTGGCGAAAGGACGAGAGGAAATGGCCTCAAGTTGCGCCAGGGGAGGTTTAGATTGGATATCAGGAAAAATGTCTTTACTGAAAGAGTAGTTAAACATTGGAACAGGCTGCCCAGGGAAGTGGTGGAGTCACCATCCCTGGAAGTATTTAAAAGACGGGTAGATGAGGCGCTTAGGGACATGGTTTAGTGGGCATGGTGGTGTTGGGTTGACGGTTGGACTCAATGGTCTTAGAGGTCTTCTCCAACCTTAATGATTCTATGATTACTGGGCTACACTAGGGCTGGGGTCTGGGGGCAGTGGCATGCTGTCGCTGGTGGTGATTTCAGCCTGCCAGCTCTGCACTGGCTGCTCTGATTTCTAAATTGAGCCCCCAAAACCCTCTCGGCCTCGGTGGTGCCTCAAAGCTCCTCTCCGGTCAAGTCTGCCACAGGGCGGGGGACAGGAAACCACTCACCACACCCTGCCCTCACCAAACCTTCACGCCGAGCAAAGACTTAAACTCTGCATTAAAGAAAGTAAATAAATAAAAGCACCAGTTGGCAGCTCCCCCCAGGGCTGTGGGACGAGCGGGGGTGAGTTGTGTTCCCGGCTCAGCCGGCCTGGGAAAGCAAACTCGGGTGACACCGAAACGCTCGCAGGGCAGCTCGGGCTGCTCCGGGGGCCGGGGAGCTGCTCAGTGCAGCCGCGCCAGTGCCTCTTTCCTGCCGCTCTTAAACGCAATTAATACAGCGGAATAACCTGGTTTCTTCCTAAGGATTAGGCTAAGAAAACAAGATGGTTTTAATAGCCCTTTTACATCCTACATAGATTTTAGCTGAAAAACCTAACTGGTTTGGCAGCGCAGCCAAATGGCACATCTTTTCTTTTTCTTTTTTTCCCCATTTTTTCCCCTATAACCTGATGCCAGTGATCCTGTGCAAGCGGGCTCCTACCGATAATTCAAGTGCCCAGCTCCTGGCTGTGCTGTTTTGTCCGATTTTCATTGCCTCCTGACCTCCATCCTTCTTTATTTGCAAAGCTATACTCGCAGGCAGCGGTAATAAATCAATTAATGACTCTGATGAATCGTTTAATGGCTGACAAAATAACACTACAGTCAACAGCTTGGATCTCTACAGCAGTACCAGAAGACGCTGGTTGACTCAGGGTAGGGAGACGAAACAGAGACTGTTAGCTCAATTAGTGCAATTAGTGTGCGATTTAAAGGCTTAGACGGCATCTGCTGGCGTACCGAGCCGGTGTGTTAACTGAGAGCTTCGGTTTGGAAGTGAAACACGGCAATCCAGATTGCCATCGCTCTGCTTGTTTCCACCAAAAAAGGGGAAAAATCCAACACGGGGAAAAAAAAATTATATATGTATGTGTGTGTATATATATATCTATATATGCGTGCCCCAGGAACTGCATTTTGTTTCCAGCATGGAGCAAATTTACCATCTAAAAGAAGGCAAACGAGCCAGCATGCTGGCTGTGCCAGAGCTGTCCTTGCTCATCTCCAGCAGCGGTCCCCAGCATGCTTTGGTGGAAGGAAATTTAGGGCATTGCATGCCGACAGGGCCCTTCGTGTGGCTGGACATGTTTTCGGTTTAGCACCAGCTTGGATGCGGTGGCACAGCGGGCTTCGTGCTCCTGCACCACACTGGCACTGCCCGTCTCCTGCCTGCTGCTTCGGCATCTCTGCCTTGCCCGTACATGCGCCGGGGGGGCTTGGGGGCGCTTAGATATTCGCCTGGTGAAACAGGCTTGGCAGGCAAACTCCAGCCAAAATCTCTGAAGTCCCTAAAAAGAATTTCTTAACCAAAATGGTGAAATTAAGCTGGGTGGGGGGAGCTGGGAGGGCAAAAATTCCTGGTTTTCTGGAAATTGGTGCTGGAAAGCCCTTGGGGTTTGGGTGCTCACTCTTGGGGTTTGGGAAATGTGTTCCCGCTGTCTTTTTTTCCCCTTTTTCTTCCTTTTCTGGCACATCCCCAGGGTTTTGCAGAGGTGCTCCAGCTGCGGCTGCGTTCCCATCGCTTCGGCAGGGCTAAAGGTGCCTCAGTGTTTACCTTAGCAGCAGTGATGGGGAGGGGAATAAAAAAGAAATAAAATGTCACTTCACAGCCTTGTAAATCATTCATCAAGGGCTGACCAATTTGGCTCCCATCCTGCAATATGCTCAGGGCACTTGTGGGTTTTTAATTACCGAGTTCTGCCAAGCGCCACATGTGCGAGGAACTTTAAATCCCCGTTTATGCTGTGAAGGCATAGGTGAGGTTTCGGGGTGTTTAGCGCAGAAAAATACTCTGTGGTTTTGTGGAAAAACGGGCATTTCGCTTCAAGATTTTCTTTGGCTGCCTTGCCCTCCTCCCTCCGCTCACTGTTGCAGAGGGAAGGAGGAGGGCATCGTACATTCCCTCTGGATCCCATCCTCACTCCCCACCACTTTGGGATCTGTTTTGCTTTGGGAGATTCCCCCAGCAAAGGATTATGGTGTGCTGGAAATCTCTTGAAACCATAAAATACCACCTTGGCAGCTTTATTGCAGCGCTCGCCGCCTTGGGAGAGAAGCATTTTGCATGATAGAGGGTTTAATAAAGGAAATTCCAAATGGGCTCGCTGCAGTTTGGGGCTTGGTCTTATATATTTTTGCATTAAGAACCGTCATCTGCTTTGCAGAGAAACTGCAATATGTTCATGGCCTTGGATTAAGATTTGGTTTTACTTTTATAGCTGACCCACTTGGGGGGATGGAGGGAGGGGAAGAACTGGGTTCACTCCCTCTCCCGTCTATTTTTGCTGCCGTCTGATGTATAAAAAGAGCCTGGAACGGGCAGGCTTATTTTTCCTGCCAGGACTTTTTTTTATTAACTGTAAAAACACTCAGATCTGGCCTTTGCTGTTGATGTGAGGAAAGCTGCTCGAGATGCCTTGTTCAGGGGAACGGCGGGAGCATGGCATGGGCTGTGCCTGGGGGCACAGGACCCCATAGCCTCAGGGGTACACCGGTTATTTCACGAAGGGGGTGTCTTTTGGGGGAATCAGCCTGCGCTGTCGTCTCTGGCGCTTGCAGCTCTGAGATGCTGGGGTGGGAAAAGCAACCACTGGACTGGTGCGGTCCTGGCCTTCATCCCGCATCCTGCACGCCAGCTCCTGCCGGAGAGCGTGATGGAGGGGGCACAAGGGATGGCCCCCGGGAAGGCACAAGGCAGCAGTTAGCCTGATGCTATCCTGCCTCTGCAAGGCTTTCTGGTCCAGTATAGCGAGATTCCCAACCAGACATTGGGATCCCACCTTGGCAAGCCTTAGTCCTTGATAAAAATCCTTAATTTTCCGGGCTACCCAAGTCCTGACACGCCGGCTTCCCCACCCTGCTCATATCTTGCAGTTGTCGCTGCATCAGATGCAGTTGGGGGCTGGGGCTGGCTCGGCTGCTGTCGGGATGCAGGGTTTGGTGGGGTTGGGGTGCTCCGAGCTTTGGGGTAAAACCAAGCCTGAGCAGGCTCACATGTACCCCATCTGCCTGTGGGGTTTTCTTGGTGGAAAATTCTTCTACCAATTTTTTCATGGTGGACAATTTTCCTCGGCCCTGGTATGTGGTTTTAGGTGGGTAAGTCCATCGTAAAAATTTGTGGAGGGAGTAGTTCAGTGATCCAAACCCAATTAATATCACTGAGGCTCCCTTGTAACTGCCCTGGGAATGGGGGTTCATTTGGTGATGGGTAAACGAGAGTGCGCTTCAGTGGCACAGGTGCCGCTCCTAACCCAGCAGGGATGTGTTGCCAGCAGTGGTCTTTAGGGAAGGATCTTTTTCTTACCATTTTCCTGCTGGGTAGGAGCCTCCCATCACACTGGTGCTTTCCCAGCGCTGCCAGCTCCGCAGCGCAGTGAGAAAGTAAATACAAATAGAGATGCTGAGCAGGAGCAAGCGGGGTGTCCGGGTACCCTGTGTCCACCCCCGTCCCTCCTTTTCAGGGCTGGAGCTGCTCAGGTGGCTCATTCTGGGGAGGTGTGAGCAGGGAGCATGAGCCACAGATCGGGTGCAATGAATTTGGAAATTCATAATAAAACCTTGACGTGCTGGTGAGGTCAGGGAGGCATCCTTTTCAGAGGACAGAACCGAACCAGCAAGTGCACAGGGGGAGGTGGGGTAAGAAAAGCATTTAAAAAGCCTCAAAACAGCTTCTGCCTGAAGTGATGCGTTGGATGAGGCTCCTCAGTGGATTAACGAGACTAAATGCCTGGGTAAATGAATAAATAAGCCCCAGAATTATCCCCGGTTTTTGTGCAGCCGTCTTCTCCGCGCGTGAATTGCAGAGGCCGGTGCCCCTCCAGCTCCGAGCATCCTCTGCTTGTTCCCCCATAGGGGGAAGATGCTCAGAGCATGGGGAGCGATGCTCGGGGCTCTGGAGGTAACACACTAATTGACTCAATGTGGTTTGGCAGGGGAGACGGCTTTTTTAATGTGTTTTTTTCTTAACTCCAACTCAAACCCAACGTGTTTGTCCTGGTTTTGTTCCCCGCAGAGCGCAGCTGCCGCCCCAAGTCCCGTGCTTGGAAACATTCCCCCAAACGACGGGATGCCCGGGGGCCCCATCCCGCCCGGTTTCTTCCAGGTAGGCTGCCGCTCCTCCTGATGCTCACCTCCACACTGTGCACGTGTTTGCTTACGCTCTGGGTGTCAGTGCTGTCGTGCCTGTGTTTTTTTCCAAAGGGATGCTAGGGAAGCAGCATGCCCGCATAGCTGACCTGTCTAGGAATAACTCGTGTTCTGCTGTCCTTCCACGTTTGCTTTCTATTTTTTGTGGCCTTAAAGCAAATGTCTTTTCTTGCTCGAAGAGGTTACTGTGTATTTACAACCAATGTTTTTTTCCAAAGCTGATGGTTTGTGTTTGGGTTGGGATTGTATTTGTTCTCTGGTCCTAACAGACGTGCATAATTGAAAACATTCTGGATTTTGATTCCTGAAACTTTTCCCCCACACACTCTGGTTAACCGCTTGATTTTTTCCAAATGCAATCACTGAAAGCATTAACAAATGCTGGCTGAAGCTGCAGGCAGGAGCCGGCTCCAGCCAAGTCCCCGAATGCCGTGGAGGCACCTTGTAAGCAAATACCTAGCAAAGTCCCCAGAGTCCCCTCGCTCCTTCCTTCTCCCATGCCTAGCTCTGACCAAGGAGGGGGTAATGTATGTTTGGAGTGACGCTGATGGAAAGGATCTTGACAAGCACACAGAAAAGGAGTTTTCAAAACTTGAACCGTGGGGGTTTTTTGGGGTTTCTCTGGAATTTCTTTGCATGGCATGAGCCGTACTGGTTTGCAGCAGTGTAAGCTCTCAGTGCATTAAAATCTTCCTTCTTGAGGAAGAAACACTTGTTCGTGTAACAAACGGGATAAGAGTTGAAAGGAATATTTGTTTTGGCAAGCTGCTTTTTTGTAATCTGGGCTTGTGATTTGTGTATGAGAGAACTTCTCGGGCAGTAGACAGGCGGACTCGATAAGGCGCTTGTGATTTATTGTGGCGATATCCGAGCCCGATATTGCCGTTTGCATGTGTATGGGAAGGGGGAAGGAGGGTCCTGTCTTTTTTTTTTAGAGAGATCCCATTTCCTGAACACGCTTCTGACAAAGTAAGAATATCCGATATTGATCAGGAACCCTAAAACAGGCAAATCTTGTAGCAGCGCTCAGTGGCACGGGGTGAAGCCAACAGCAGAGATGCTATCTCGCAGGTCATAGCTGCTGCCAGCAATTCGAGTGCCAAGCTGCTGCTTCCAGCAAATGTGTCTCCAAAAGTCCTGATCTCGCCCCGCGGCAAAGCTGACTGTCCTTTGGGGCTCCTGCTTCACGCAGAGCTGCGAGGGCTGCAAAACTGGCATGAAGTTAGGGCAAGACTTCAAGAGTATGGGTTGGCTTTTCCCAAGAGGGGAAGGTGGGGAAGAGGAGTCGCATCTCCCCAGACGTGCTGTGCATGCTCCCGTCTTGACTCTTCCCATTGACAGCCTACAAGCTGTCCCCCCTGCTTTCCTTTCTGCCTTCCCATAGCATTTTTGCTCTCCAATTCAGGAGCAAACAACCCATCCCAGCTCCCTACCTCTTGTGTGGCTGGACCAGGAGCCACTGGGGAAGGGGGGCTCAAAAGCAGCTCTGCTTTCTTGGGACCTTTGGTGAGGGGGTCCTGAAAACCCAGCAGAAGTAATGGCACCAGTGCAGGTATTGTGTGTGGGGATGCTGCCCATCCCCAGAGCTGCCGGAGGGAAGAGAGGACGGGTGCCGATGCATATGGCTCGCATGTGACATCTCAAGAGCCTGCCTTTTCTGAAAGCCCTCCAACATCTGGTTTCTCCTCCCAGCCCTGGGGATGGAGGGGAGGAGGGGAAAGGAAAAATCCCACCTTTTAACACAATCTGAACATCGCCCTCATGAAAGCCCGTCTGATTTATTGCGGGTGCTGGTGCTTGTTCCAGCTCAGGAGGTGCTGGAGACCAGCTCTTGCAGAGGTGGGCTCATGGCTTGGCGGCAAGCCGGTCGCAGCTCGGGGTAATTTCTTGTCTCTGTAGGAAATTAAAGTGCTGAACTTAAGAGGGCAAAACCAAAAAGGTCACAGGAGATGCAAAGGACTTCTCCCTGACTCTTGGCGTGCCAGCCGCGGGAGTGGGTGAGGTTCCTTGTGGTGCCCCAGCCAGTGCCTTCCCTGTGCCAGGAGAAGGGGAGAAGAGAGGAGGAGCCCAGGCTGCAGTGCCCATCCACAGCTGCCGTCTGACAGGGAGAGTCTCTTCCCTGCACTGGGGCCCAGCAGTGACCTTTGGGCTGGGGGCCAAGGGAAATGCAGCCTGCAGAGTGTCCCAAAACCTTCCCAAAACGATGGGAAAAGAGAGGCCCTGGACGCCCTTGGGTTGCCAGGGCATTGCATGGTGCCAGCCGGCGCACGGCATTGGGCTGCGCTCCAGACAAAAGGTGGCCGGGTTGACTGCTGGTGTGGGTAGATGCTTTTATTTAAATCTCTCTCTTTGTCCCTTTGAGATGAGCAAACAAACCCACTGCTCATCCTCGCAAAGGTCATCGGAGGCGTTCCTGCTTTTGTTTTGAAAGCTGGATTGATGCCGGGGTGCATATCCCTCAAAGGAGGGACAGGGGGATGCCAGGGAAAAGTAGAAAGGAAAATTAAAAATTGAAAGCAATTAATACCACACCTTCCTACCACTAAATAAACAGGGGGGGACCCAGTCAGCAGCCCCCCGCCGCGGCCGTGCCTCCTCTCCCCAGTGCGAACTCCCCGCACCGCCCCGTACCCTGCACGCTGATGAAATGGAAAGTTGACCATAAATCAATGTCGGCGGCTGCGTTAGCTATGCATCAGCGGCTCGGTGCCGAGATGCACCAAAACAAAGCACTGGCTGCTCGGTGTTCCCACACTGCCCCCTAATGCAGAGAGACCTCAGGAGCCGGGGAGGACGGGGGGCCCCAGAGCCCGGGGGGCTCCCCCCAACACCCCCTGCCCTCCCCGCCTCTCCTCCCTGCATCCTGGGGTGCATCTCTTTGGGCAAGGTTGCCCACAGGGGTGAGGATGGTAAAGTCAGGGGCAATAGGAAGGGGTCCATATTGTCCTGCTCCCTCCTTGGTTACCACCATTTTCCCCCTGCTCAGCTGTCCTGACGTCTCAGTGGGATTTGGCACCGCTCCGCGGGTGCCACCAGCTGTGGTCAACCAGCTCCGGCAAGGTGGCACAAGAGCCGCAAACCAGGCTGTCCCTCCCGAAATCCTGGGGCAGAGCTCGGTGTCAGCCTTGCACCAGGCAGGGTTTGAAGGAAGGTGGCTTACGAGCTGGAGGAAAGGAAAAGCAAGCATTGGAGAAAGTTTTTTTTCTGGAAGTTTAGTAGGATGCCCGAGGCTTTTGTACCGAGTGTCTGGAGCATATGGTGGGATTTGCAGTCAACTTTCTCTTGGGTGCTCCAGCCAGATGGAGGTGACTGTTCTTGGCTCCAGCTGACACGGGTTTGTTTCCTGAAGAGCTTGTGTTTAACATATTCCTTAAAACCAGGCTTCTGCAGTTGGGAGCCCCAGCTGCAGGCGAGGCAGAGCTCCTGCCCACGGCTGCCTTCCGCCGTCTGCGGAGGAACTTGGCCCGCCTTGCCCTGCCTCGCCTCGCCTCGCCTCGCCTTGCCTTGCCCTGCCTTGCCCTGCCTTGCCTTGCCTTGCCCTCTCTCGGGAAGGTGCGGCTGAGTCCTCACCCGGCACCACGTGCTGGAAGGCGGCCGTGGTCCTCCTCTCCGAGGGCACCTGGAGCATCTCTCCTAAAGGCTCCTTCAGGGATATCTTTTTTTTGTTGTTGACAACTTCCAAAACTTCCTTCTCCTTTGGTAGGAATAAAGATCCTATCCAATAAACCCAGGCAGGTCTTTAATTAATATCCATCTAATTTATTTTAGTATTTTCTAATGTCAAAACCAGTAGGCAGGGGCAGGTATTTTAAAACACAAGATGCCTTCCTATTGCTAACTCTAAATTGTCGGTATCTTGTGGCAGCGATGCTTTGCCTTCTCGTACCATCCTGCATTGTTCTGCCACCCCCAGAGGTGCTTGAAAATGTTTTTAAATAGAAAAACTCCCCCATTAGCTGAAAGTATGTAGCCCATAAAACGTGATCCATTTGTGGTGAATTATGCTGGAAACATAAATTGACACACACAGAGCTATGATCGCTCATGCCATTTTCCATCTTTAATATTTTACAAGAAGTTTGAGGAGTCGAGCTTGTGAAAGACGGAGTGGAAATAACCTGATCGCTTGGAAACTCCCCTTAGAAAGCAGCAGCAGCAGCAAACTTCAGTCATACGATGACTGAAGGTTGGGCTTTTAAAGTCCCCATAGTGTAGAGGGGGGGGGAAATGAAGCAGAGAGGAGGTTGGGGCAACAAGAGCTGTTGGAAACAGTTTCTTCTAATGCCATTTTAGCTGTTTGGGGTTGTTTGTTGGGGTTTTTTTTGAGGCAGCTACAGGAAGGTGAAGAGTTACCCCCCATGCAAGGCATCCAGTTTGGAAAAAAAAAAAAAAATGAAAAAAAAAAAAGAGAACTAGAGAGATGATGGGATTTCTCCGGTTGGGGAGAGTGCTGGTCTTGAGATGAGAGTGAATTAACTGCAGAGCAGGTCCTGCTCGCCCGGCACAGCGTGTTGGATGGAACTCTGATGAGGGGATGGAGCGCTTGGGCATTTGGGATCTGGAGGGAGGTGGTGCAGAGGAAGCAGGACTGTGCATGCGTTCAGCCTCCTCTTGTAACAGCACTAGTTAATAACTGCTAAATACACATTTTTTAAGAAAACAGTGTTGTTCTGTTGGTTGGAGCCCACATGTCATCTCTGCAAAACACTTGTCTTAACCACCGTGATCCATCGGGATCATCTGCTGCTTCCTCTGCAGTGAGGGAAACCCGTGCGAAAAAGCAACCGATCCGGCAGGCGTTCCCGGCCAAACGCAGGTCCCAGCCCTGAAACATCTGAAAATATTTACGGAGATAACAATATCCAGAGGGCCTGCGTTTCTGACAGAGCAGCGCGGCCGTGCCGCAGGGGCGCGGGAGGGGGCTGCGGCGGTTGCAGCCTGGAGCGAGCATTTCGATGCTGCTGCTTGTTGCTGTTGTGAAAAAGAAGAAAAGAATGAAGAAAAATAGAAGAAAGCCCCTTTCAGCTCCTCCCTGCCTGCTGAGACGTTTGCACGAGCTGGGCATCTGCAGTCACATTGTCCAGAAGTCTCTGCCAGGAGCGGTACCACGTGGGATAACGCGATGGCAAGGATGCTGCTCGCTGACCGGCAAAGCGCGGCGCTGAGCCTGGAGAATCCCGGGGAGCAGCCTTGGGGCAGCGGGGCAGGTCCACACTCCAGAGGATGCATTTCAGCAGCACAAACAACTGATGCTCTCCAGATCCAATTGCCGCGGGGGATTTTTCTGCAGTGAAGATGCCGCCCTGTCCTTTATAGATGCTTTTTCTACAATAACCAAATGCTGCTTGCTCTGAAGACTTTAAATGCAGCCCCAAAGCCTCACCTCTGGGCCCAGCCGGGGTGCGTGTAGGTGGACATGTCCCCCGTGCATTCGATACCTGGTAACCCCACACCCTCACACACCGGGGATATGAGAAGGAGGACGTCAGGGGTTTAATAACTTCAGGATGGGGTCTGCGTGCCTGTCCAGTCAGTACCTGGATAACGACCTCTTCCTTGCGGCGCAGCAAGGCAGGCATTGTGGAGGACCTGTTGACTTTTGCGTTGACGGGACTTGAGGGTTGGCCTCTGCGAGTCCTGGTTTGTCCTTTCCACTTGGTTTCATTGCTCGTTCACCTTTGCCAATCTTCCCTACCCCAAATCCTGCAGCTGTGACGTGTAGGAAGGGCTTTGATGGTGGCCAGACCTCGTTGAGGGGTGCTGTCCTCTGTGAACCGGTGATGGGAGGTGGCTGCTGCCCCTGGTGCGGTTTGCATTCGCAAACTTCAGAAGCAAAAAATAAGTCAAGTTTCATGCATGGAGATGACTTCTGCTAGAGGTGGTTGATGCTACAGTTGGACCACAGAGGTTTGTCTTCTCCACTGTGGTGGGATGTGGATGGAGAAGGCAGTTGCGTTGGCACCGGGAGGGTTGTCCTGAGGTGCTGTGACCTCTTCCAGCCAAGGTTCACCGGGCAGGAGGGGCAGGGGCTGGTTGCCTTTGGCTCCTGGAGAATAAATGGTGGTGTAAACGGTGGGACTTCACTTCCCCGGGCGCAGCGGCTGGAGCGGGGAGGCTGGCAGGAGGCTGTTGGTTTAAATCTGCTTGGCTCCATCTCTCTGCCGAACTGTTCAAATAAAAAAAAAGAGGAAAAAAAACCCACCCTCTTACTTTATTTACATTGCACTCAAGTTTCCGCCGTACAAAAGATTTGCAGGTGCAAATATGTCCTGCCTTCATTAACTTCCCCTCCCTTTTTAATTTATGTGATTTCAATTTTCCTTCCCTGTACTGTTAATTAGGGGACCCTCTAATCAGTACCATTATCACAGTGGTATTCATGTTTAGGAAAGCTGCTAAACAAATGCTTGCAAAATTGCTAAATGGCTAATTAATGTCTGTTAATTAAGAAAATTGCTCATGGTAACAAACCATGCCATTGCTGGCAGCAGCTAGAAGGCGAACACTTGTTGAAATTAGTAACGAGGCAGGTAGAGAACATCTGCTCCGGCGCCGGTCCTGGAGCCTGCCGTCGCTTCCCATCACCTACTGACAAAGCTCGTTTGCTTTCTTTACACCTCCTTTGACTCAAAAGATACTTTTTTTTTTTTTCCTTACATTAACACGCACCGGTATATTCTTGCACCGAGCTCGTGGTTTTTCCAAGCAAATTTTCATTTCGTACTTTTAGGGGAAATTTAAAAAAAAAAAAAAAGTGGGCGTTCAAGCCCAAAATGTCAGCGGCTGCTGCATTGCAGCCTTAAACCTGCACCAACTAATCTCTCCTTTTTTCCCCTAGACATCCTTTCTTTGCTCGCAAGCCATTTTTCTCGCATCCTTAGGGAATCCACCTCGAGGAAGGATGTTGCATCCCTACAGGCTGGCGATACAGCCCCGGTTGTGCCGGCCAAACGCTGCCCAGGCGCAAGCTGGGACGTGCTCCTCGTCCTCTGCGCTTGCTCCAGCACCTCCAGTGAACCACGGTCAAAAAAAAAAACCAAACCCCAGAGGTGTTTCCAACCTTTGGGATAAGAGAGGAAAAAATGACACTTTTTTTTGGTTTGGGGGTGTTTTTTGTATTTCCCCCAACCTCTCTGGTCCTCTCCTGCGTATTTTTTCTTCTTTGTTGCACGCCCTTGCAAGATGTTTCCCTGTGTGTTTATCATTGCAGACTTGGTTGAACTACCGGACCGTTTACCGTCAATGTGGCTGCTGTATTTTGACAGATGTTCTGATTTTTAATTTTTTTTTTTTTTTTGCATATATCATTATTCATTGTTCAGCTACAAATGAATAAAAACTCAATTAAAAAGAGGAAAAAAAGAAAAAAAAATTTAAAAACGGGAGAACTGACTCCCCGACGAAACAGGTCCACCCGTCAATCCTTTTTTTAGCTCTTTCTGCGCTTTCATGTGCTAATCTATAACCTCCTTCTACTGTCTGACCTCACAGGGACCGCCTGGGTCACAGCCCTCGCCACACGCACAGCCTCCACCCCACAATCCTAACAGCATGATGGGACCCCACAGTCAGGTAAAGACACTAGCGATGGGTAGGGCTGTGAACCGGGACGTGCGCTCGATTTGCTTTTTTTTTTTCCCCTCTAAGCATGCTGGGCAGCGGGTACCCGCTCCCCCGGGGAGCATCCCCCTGGGCACCCCAGCTCCGAAGCGAAATACTGTTTTTTTCCCTTTTTTTTTTCTTTTTTTTTTTTGGATGTGCAGTTGTCAATGGACTGAGAAGTCAATCGTGGGTATCAGACTGTTTTACCTTCCCAAGGTAGCCTGAGAAATTTAACTTGATGTGGGTTTTTAAGCTTCTGTTAGTAGCAGCAGTTGTAAAAAAGTAACTTTAAGCCTTTCTTCTTTTTTTTCAGTACTTAGCATTGGGGTTTTTTTTGTGTGTGCGTGTCTGTATGTGCTTATTTGCCACTTTTTTTAATATATCTCTGTATATTTAAACTTGAACAGTATCTAACACTCAGGGTTTCCCATGCACTAATTTTAACAGCCTCACCTAGTATTGCCGATGTCAAACGCTCTCAAACAATAAATCTACAGAGAAAATGTTTAAAAAATGGACTCCGGACACTTTTTTTTTTTCTTTTGAAACTTAACTTTTTAAAAAAGGATGTCTCCAGAAAAAAAAAACCAAAACAGTGTGTACAGTCTAACCGGCGTGCGTGGGGAGCGTGCTGCGTCCTCGCAGCTCGGCCCTGACCTCCCTTTTATGTCCCCACAGCCGTTCATGTCGCCGCGCTACGCTGGAGGTCCCCGGCCCCCCATCAGGATGGGCAATCAGGTACTGCGCTCCCGGGCTCCGTACCGGTGGGTTTCCTGGGGGTGGCTTTTATTTGGGGAGGGGGGGCAAGGGCCACGTGTCCTGCAGATGCTCCTTGGATTTGGATGGGAGGCATCGCCTCCCGTGGGCATCCTCCGTTTTCTTGGTGCTGGAGCATCAAGTGTCACATAACCATTTTATTTTAATTTTTTCTTGAGGTTCGGGCATACCCAGGGTGTAAACGGCGGTGGGGCATGTGCTGCTTTTTATTTGTGGTGTTTCCAGCATGGCCACGCCGTGCCGCAGGCTCGCTGCCCGGGTGGATTTTCCCTGCAATCGCAGAAAATTAAAGTGATGGAGATAATCCTGCTGCTGGGTTGACTGAGCGCTTAGATCAGAGGCAGGGTCAAGCGGGGCAGGTCACTGCTGAATTTTTGGGGTTGGGTTTATCCTCTTATCCCAGCTTAAACAAGGGCAGTTTGTTTCTGGCCTTACGGACGGAAGCTTCCACCCCACGCGTTGCCTGAACGCATGACCTTTGGTTGAGGAATTCATCTCATTCCCAATGATGCCGTGCAGATCCATAGGGTAATGACCAAACCAGAGGTCACTTTTCATTAAAGGGAAATTAAAGGAAACCTGTAATTCCTTTGAGTAGCAAAGGTGACTGTGCAAAAATTATCTTGGGAGCTTGATTTTTGGCTAACTATTATTTTTATATAGCTCTTATTAGCAGAAAGAGCAGAATAGTCAGGAAATAGGATGTGGCAGCTTGCTTCATGTTTGCACTTGCTGGATTTGAGACTTGAATCACTGGAACTTGCAAAACGATGGTGAGACAGCTGAGATGTAGCTGAGAAAAACTCAAGGGGGGCTGATGTAGGACCCCCAAGCCCAGCTGGGCTGGAATAGCCTCCCACCCAGGGCACCGGTGGCTGGTTTAGCGAGGTATTAATTGGTGGCACCTTTTCCCGGGACAGTTTTAACGGGCCCTCGTCCTGCTGTGGTACCCAGGCTGGTCCCGGCACGGCTGGAGGTGTGCACGGGGAGCTGGGGCAGGCAGGAGAGGCAGGGGACCAATTTGGGGTGGCTGCTCTTGCAGGGGGGTCGAGCATCCAGGAGTGGGTAAAGTTAATTAGAAAGATTTAATCTTTTTCCCACAAACACCACATATAAGACACAGGTTTGTACCTACCCGGAGCTCGGCGAGGTTATGGTCGCATCCAGAGGGACAAGAGGAATAAATAGGCAGGCAGGAGGGTCAGGCAGCAGAAGTGTAAATATCCATCACTACAACCCCCCTGGTTTATCTTCCTCCTGCTGCCAGCTTCCAAGCTGCAAAAAAGATTGGGACTGGGCAGATTCTGCCTCGGCGCGGCCGTGCACACCCAGTGCCTATGCTGTGCTCCAGCAGTGGGATCTTGTCTGTGTTGGTATTTAAATAAAAGGCAGTGCTGTAGCAAAACTGTTTACAGTTTGCTTTCCCCAGGCAGATGGTATCTGCGTTTTTCTCCCCCTTTATCTGTTCGGAGCAGCCTTTGAACTTTAAATAGCCACGTTGCCGGAGCAGAGCTGGGTTTGGGGAGGGGAGCATCCGCCTTCCCCTCCTGCCTGCCGTGGGTACAGGTCTGAATGCTGGTCTGCTGCAAATGGAGCATCTCCCCGTCGGCAGCCGATGAATCGCTGCAACCTGTACAGTTTGGCCCTGGCGCTGTGTCAATACAGGGGAGCCGCGCTGCCTGTCTCCTTTCCCTGCCAGCTTTGATGCCTCTGCCCCGTGCAGCCCAGGCTTTTCCCCCCTCCCCTAAAATACGGCAGCCTGATGGTGCGCAGGCTGCGGGGAGAGGAGGAAACGCTGGCACCTTGTTTGGTTTTTAGAGGGTGTTTGCAAGAGGAAAGGGGAGGCGAGGCAAGTGCCTGGAGGCTGTAGGAAGATGCCCAGGATGCGGGATGCAGCAGGATGCAGGATGCTTGGGCAGCTGCAGGTCGTGCTGTGGCAGGAGGGGTGGTGCATCCCGGGGAGCACACTGAGGAGCCCCCCGAAAGCCTCAATCCAAATCTATTTCTGTAGGCTGCATTTTAGCAATGATTTTTCTTTTTTATCTTCCTCCCCTTGTTTTCACAGCCCCCAGGCGCCGTTCCCGGTACACAGCCATTGCTGCCCAATTCGATGGATCCCACACGACAGCAAGGTAAACCCGGCGGAGGAGGGTTGAACGTTAATGTTTCTCGTTAGCTGTTAATTTGGGACCCGAAGTGGCTGCTGTGCCGTGTAACGCCCCTGCTTTCCTCCCAATAGGGCACCCTAACATGGGCGGCCCCATGCAAAGGATGAATCCTCCACGAGGGATGGGCCCCATGGGTCCCGGTCCGCAGGTAAGCCCAGCGCCAAAGAGCATCTTACGGCTCGGCAAATGCTGTGCACCATCGAAACAACCTCCTGGGGCTCAAAAGGCTGGGAGTTCCCCTCCCACACTCTGTCCCCCCATTAGTGTTAATGCGTTTTACATTAGTCTTGCATCTGGAAATCCCTCCTTTTAACATGAGTGAGGTCTTCAGAGCTCGTTAAGGGTATTGCAACCTCCCTTCTGCCCTTCCGTCAAAGGGGATGGCACTTAGCACTGTGGTGGAGCAGCCTTTGAGTGCATTACACTGCCTGCCTGGGAAATAGTTACGACCCTAACAGCAGGAAGGGGAAAGGAGGCTTGCATTAAAAATAAATAATAAAAAGAAATGGCAAAGATCCCTTTAGCAGGGGAATAAGGCTTTCCTCTGTGAGGTTCCCCTCCACCTGCCCTTCCTGCTGCCTCCTTCAGCTCTCTATTTCAGGAAAGGGGAGTAAACTCTTGAAATTAAGCAGATCTGGGTTAATATATGCTGTCTTTCCATTGATTCACTTTATGGAGTGGCTTGTTGTTGACTCACTCCTGTTTGTTCCTGCTACGAGACTTCAAAACCAGATTACCATATTTTGGTTGGAGGTTTATCCTCTCTGCATCGTCGCCTACGTCGAGTTTGTAGCGCAAGGATCAGAGTCTGTCAAGAGACGAGCGGGTGCGCTGGAGTTTTGTTTTGTTTTTTCCCCGGAGACTGTTGAGATAAGTGAATATTGTGTAAAGAGGGAGTTGTGTCATGTCTTTTTAACACCAGCCTGAGGATGCTGCTCAGGGATGCCTGGCCGTCTCTGCAGGCAGCCGGATCCATCCTAGGGCAGGGGATAAAAAACCTGCACGAGCATCGTTTCACAGACAAGCCCTCTGATAGCACCACTGCTCTGCTTAAAATCCTCCTTTCCTGGAGGATTGCACCCAAAAAAAATGGCATTTGTTAGCGTGGCCTGCGCCAAGGAGAGCGGCGGTTTGCCTGGGGGAGGCTGCTCGCTTCCCACTTGCAAAGCTCGCAGCAAAACTTGGAAGCCACAAGCGCGCGTTCAGCGCTGCGTGGGATGGCGGCGGCTCTGGGAGCCGGCAGGAGTTGTGAAATGTTCAGAGCTTTATTTTTGACTCTGCCTTTCCCTGTGTACGTACATTAGGGAGAGGCTTTTTAAAAGGCAGCCTTCCCCTGGGGAAGTGCTGGGCTTCCCAATCTGGCACCCATAGGGCGCTGCCTCCCTGCAGCCATCCAGGAACAAGCACAGGCAACCACCAAAAATACCAAACCAAACCCAGCAGCCCCTCACACCTTGTGTGGCCAGGACTTTTTTTTCTTTAAGCTTTGCATCAGGACCTTCCCAAATACTCCTGAAATTATCCCAAAGGGCTGCAGAGCATCCAGCCAGGACATCCCAGCATCCTGACAACAGCTACTTATTACACACTGATGATGAATCATCCCTTACAGCTGATCGCCGCTGCCTTTTTCCCTTTAATAGTCGCAGTTTTAGCTCTGCAGAGGCCAGGATTAGATTTGCCGGTGCCTCTATGAAGAGGGTTTGTAGCTCACTGGGTTTTGGCGGTGTCTTGCCAGAGCCCGGCATCCAGGTCGCTCAGCACAGCTGCGTTCCCTCCCCACCCTCCCTGAGCATCTTTCAGATGGCTTCATTTTCCAGCCTTTCAGCTCCAATTAAAAACGCTGAGCTTTTTTTTTTTTTTTTAAACAAGGGGTTTGATGCTGCTATTCAGTGTAAATGGCTGGAATTTCGATCAATTAAGGACTTGCCCGTAATTTGTTTGGGGAAAACCCTTTTCTGCCTCTTCAAAACAAGCTTTGGCGATGCCCTCAGCAGAGCACCATGCTCCGGTGCATCCATAAATCCAGGGAAAAATAGACGGCACTGAAGTATTGCACTTAAAATCCAGCTTGGAGTGCTCCAAGGGGCTGCGAAATAGGAAGCGGCCAGCCATTCCCCCTCCTGCCTAGCAATTTTTTCTCTAATACAGCCCAAAAAGATGCATCGCGGGGGGAAGGTGGGAGGGGAGGAGCAGCAGCACGACCTAAATCCAACTGCACGTTGCCCGGAGGGCACAGGGAGCAAAGCGCAGACCAAATGGAGCGCAGCATTCAGGGGATTCCTCTTCCTTCGCTGCCTTGGGCTTGGCTTTGTACTAGGGCTGGTTTTAGGAGATGAGGGATGCAGATCTGAGGCTCTCGGTCCCGGCTGGAGGCTAAGCCGGGGTAGAATAAGCCAGGAGAGGAGCCCCAAGGGGCTGCCTGCCCTCGTCTGCTCCCTGCGGCTGCAGACCCATTCCGGGGGAGTAGCAGAGAGCTGGGAAGCGACAGGAAAACAAGCCTGGCTTGGTTTTCCCTACTCCAGCCGTCATCCTGGGAGCAGGGGATGCTCTGTCTCAGGGGCAGCTCGTGCAGCCTTTTCCCGTCCTTACGCTGCAGCAATAACCTTCTAAGCGCTGCCGCCTTTTCTCCTCCTGCCCCCATTTTCTCCTGCACAAAAAGACAACCCCAAAAGGCTGTTGTTGGCACCTGGGGCCTGTGAGCAGATTTGTCTCCTGGAGCTGGGAGGGGGCTGTTTGGCCTCCACCAGCATGGCATCAGAGACCAGGGGGGTGACTTTGGGGCTCAGCCTGGCTCCCTTCCATATTCAGCTGCCTGTTCTTTTTATAAACACAATTGCTAATTGCCTCTATGTTCATCATCATATAATATTATTTTTTAAAGCTCATTTTTGCAAACTAACCCTCTTATTTTGTTTGTTTGTTGGGTTTTTTTTCCCTTCTCTTGTCTTCTCCGGCTTCCCCTCCTGTTACGGTAGACTGACCCTTGGTTATCGTTGCAGAACTACGGCAGTGGCATGAGACCTCCACCCAACTCCTTAGGTCCCGGCATGCCTGGAATTAACATGTAAGACAAACCCCATGCCGGGGATGTTTGGCCACTGGCTCGGGCTTTGCGGGACTGTACGGATAAAAATGGGTTTTGTTTTTTTTTCCTGTTTAATTTTGACCCCAGGGGGCCAGGAGCTGGCAGACCATGGCCGAACCCCAGCAGTGCTAACTCAGTGAGTATCCCGCGGTCCTTGAAGCAAGAGCGGGGCTGGTCGGGCACCGTCCCACAAAGGAGGCCGTTCCCTGTTAGCTGAATCCTGCTAACAAGATGGGGTTCCCCAGCCTCTTGTTTAGGCGCTGCATCTAAAGCCTAAGCCCTAAGCTCCCCGCTGCTCTCCCTATGGTGGGGTGCAGCTGCGGGGGCTGGTGGGCCCTGGGACCCCCATCCTCGCTGGGCTGGGGGGGCAGCGGGGAGTCTCGGCTGTGCCCTGCTGGGGTCCAGCCTGCAGGAGCCCCCGTGCACCCTGTGGCTGAACCTGGCTCTCATCTCTCTATAGATCCCATACTCTTCTTCATCACCTGGTACATACGTGGTGAGTCCTGCCGCATCTGTCCGTCCTGTCGTCGGGGTGCGGGGATGTTATGGCTCGGGGAGCTCATGTGGTTTGGGGAATCGGTGCTGGGGGGCGGGGGGCTAGGCTGGGTTTGGGGGTGCAAGGTCCAGCTGGGGGAGGCATTTGAAAACGTGGGGAGGTGGGCGATGCTCGTGTTCGTGCGGCTGACCCCCGCTTTGTCTCTCTGCAGGGTCCGCCTGGCGGCGGCGGTCCTCCAGGGACACCCATCATGCCCAGTCCCGCAGGTATGAGACCCCCCCCTCTCCAGGGCCAGTCCTCCCGGGCTCCTGCCCCTTCCCCTGCCAGGAGACCCCCGTACCTGGGGCTGTGCCACCGAGCACAGGCAACGCCTGCCCAACCGGCGATAACCAATTTATGTAGCTTTTGCCTTTCTGGGGAGCGAGCGGCATGGGCTGCTTGGCTTTGGGATGGCATTTGGGGATGTTCCTGTGTCCCCCTATGGATTTGGATGCTGCGGAGCTTGGGGAGGTGAGGAGTGCTACATGGTGGGGAATTACCTCCCCGTGCTTCCCAGCCAGGAGTTGAATTATTTTTCACAGTTGAATTTCTGTGATTAAAAACTTTGTGGATCTTCATTAAATACAAATTAGCCAGAAAATGGTGGTACTTAGAGGGAATTTTAGGTGATAAAATACAAAAGAATGAGTTCAAGTGGCATGAGTTTGTTTTAATTAAGAAATGAATTAATCACCCGACTTACTGGGCTTCACTGTTCCACAGATTCAACAAATTCAAGTGACAACATCTACACAATGATTAATCCAGTACCGCCCGCAGGCAGTCGATCGAATGTAAGTCTGCTTTCTAATAATTTACATATCAGATACCATAACAAATCATAATTAACTTCATCAGTTGAGAGTAAAGCAGTTTAATTGATTTCAGCCATTTGTTACAAAACAGAAATAAAACAAACCATAAAAAAGCGATTAACTCTTCAGTGACTTTGTTAATTTTTTATGCTTATTAAGAGAGCGGCGGTCCTGCTGCTCCGGCCGAGGTGGTGGCAGCTGCATGCCCGGCGAGATGCTGCGTTTTGCAGGATACGGGCAGACTTAAATCTCATTAAATGCTGGTTGGAGGGAGCCCTCTGTGCTGCCATGGGTCTGGGTCTGCCCGCACCCATCTGGCCAAATTTTGTAGGTGAAACGGGACCACGAGCCCCCAGAGGTGCCCCACAGCCTCAGGGGTGGATGCGTTCCTCCTCTCGCCCCGCTCCGGAGGGATGGCTGGGGAGAGGACAGTCCCCAGGAACCGCCGGGACTGTGGCAGACGTGCGGGGTGGTTTTGTGGCTGATTTTGGTTTTGTTGCCTTTTTCTTCCACAGTTCCCAATGGGCCCCGGCTCCGACGGCCCCATGGGCGGTATGGGTGGCATGGAGCCCCATCACATGAACGGATCATTAGGTGAGCGCCCACGTGGGGGGCTGTGGCTCAGGGAGCCCGACCGTGCCTTCGCTCCCCAGGGACGCTGGCAGAGCATCCCAGTGCCTGCTCCCGTCCCGGGGTCAGCCCCCAGTTTGGACCAGTGCTCGAAGCAGAGCCTTTGGCTGGAACAGAAGAGAG